TACTGGGATATCCACAAACAATTCCACAGTTACTGGGATATCAACAACCAATTCCATAGTTACTGGGATATCAACAAACAATTCCATAGTTACTGGGATATTAACAAACAATTCCATAATTACTGGGATATCAACAACCAGTACCATAGTTACTGCGATATCAACAACCAGTTCCATAGTTACTGGGATATTAACAAACAATTCAATAGTTACTGGGATATCCACAAACAATTGCATAGTTACTGGGATATCAACCGTAGTTACTGGTATATTAACAACCAATTCCATAGTTATTGGGAGGGATATTAACAAACAATTCCACAGTTACTGGGAGATCAACAACCAATTCCAAAGCTACTTGGATATCAACAACCAATTCCAAAGCTACTTGGATATCAACAACCAATTCCAAAGCTACTTGGATATCAACAACCAATTCCGTAGTTACTGGGATATTAACAACCAATTCCATAATTACTGGTATATCAACAACCAATTCCATATTTACTGGGATATCAACAACCAATTCCATAGTTACTGGTATATCCACAAACAATTCCATAGTTACTGGGATATCAACAACCAATTCCAAAGCTACTTGGATATCAACAACCAATTCCGTAGTTACTGGTATATTAACAACCAATTCCATAATTACTGGGATATCAACAACCAATTCCATATTTACTGGGATATCAACAACCAATTCCATAGTTACATTCCATAGTTACTGGGATATTAACAACCAATTCTATAGTTACTGGGGTATCAACAACCAGTTCCATAGTTACTGGGATATCCACAAACAATTCGATAGTTACTGGGATATCCACAAACAATTCGATAGTTACTGGGATATCCACAAACAATTCCAAAGTTACTGGGATATCAACAACCAATTCCATAGTAACTGGGATATTAACAACCAATTCCATAGTTACTGGGATATCAAAAACCAGTTCCATAGTTACTGGGATATTAACAACCAATTCTATAGTTACTGGGGTATCAACAACCAGTTCCATAGTTACTGGGATATCCACAAACAATTCCATAGTTACTGGGATATCCACAAACAATTCGATAGTTACTGGGATATCAACTGGGATATCAACAACCAATTCCATAGTTACTGGGATATTAACAACCAATTCTATAGTTACTGGGGTATCAACAACAAGTTCCATAGTTACTGGGATATCCACAAACAATTCGATAGTTACTGGGATATCCACAAACAATTCGATAGTTACTGGGATATCAACTGGGATATCAACAACCAATTCCATAGTTACTGGGATATTAACAACCAATTCCATAGTTACTGGGATACCAACAACCAATTCCATAGTTACTGGGATATCCACAAACAATTCGATAGTTACTGGGATATCCACAAACAATTCCAAAGTTACTGGGATATCAACAACCAATTCCATAGTTACTGGGATATCAACCGTAGTTACTGGTATATTAACAACCAATTCCATAATTACTGGTATATCAACAACCAATTCCATATTTACTGGGATATTAACAACCAATTCCATAGTTATTGGGATATACACAAACAATTCCATAGTTACTGGGATATCCACAAACAATTCGATAGTTACTGGGATATCCACAACCAATTCCATAGTAACTGGGATATTAACAACCAGTTCCATAGTTACTGGGATATTAACAACCAATTCCATAGTTATTGGGATATCCACAAACAATCCCATAGTTACTGGGATATCCACAAACAATTCCATAGTTACTGGGATATCCACAAACAATTCGATAGTTACTGGGATATCAACTGGGATATCAACAACCAATTCCATAGTTACTGGGATATCATAGTTACTGGGATATTAACAACCAATTCCATTGTTACTGGGATATCAACAACATATTCCATAGTTACTGGGATATTAACAACCAATTCTATAGTTACTGGGGTATCAACAACAAGTTCCATAGTTACTGGGATATCCACAAACAATTCGATAGTTACTGGGATATCCACAACCAATTCCATAGTAACTGGGATATTAACAACCAGTTCCATAGTTACTGGGATATTAACAACCAATTCCATAGTTACTGGGATATCAACAACATATTCCATAGTTACTGGTATATTAACAACCAATTCCATAGTTATTGGGATATCCACAAACAATCCCATAGTTACTGGGATATCAACTGGGATATCAACAACCGATTCCATAGTTACTGGGATATCAACAAACAATTCCATAAATACTGGGATATCCACAACCAATTCCATAGTAACTGGGATATTAACAACCAATTCCATAGTTACTGGGGTATCAAGAACCAATTCCATAGTTACTGGGATATCCTCAAACAATTCCATAGTTACTGGGATATTAACAACCAATTCCATAGTTACTGGGATATCAAAAACCAGTTCCATAGTTACTGGGATATTAACAACCAATTCCATAGTTACTGGGATATCCACAAACAATTCCATAAATACTGGGATATCCACAAACAATTCCATAGTTACTGGGATATCAACAACCAATTCCAAAGTTACTTGGATATCAACAACCAATTCCATAGTTACTGGGATATCAACAACCAATTCCATAGTTACTGGGGTATCAACAATCAGTTCCATAATTACTGGGATATCAACAACAAATTCCATAGTTACTGGGATATCAACAACCAATTCCATAGTTCCTAGGATATGAACAACCAATTCCATAGTTACTGGGATATCAACAACCAATTCCATAGTTACTGGGATATCAACAACCAGTTCCATAATTACTGGGATATCAACAACCAATTCCATAGTTACTGAGATATCAACAACCAATTCCATAGTTACTGGGATATTAACAACCAATTCCATAGTAACAGGGATATTCAAACCAGCTGTAACTATAAAGGAGAAAAATAACATCTAACGTGCAATCAATACCTGGAAAATTAAAGACTTAATACCATTAACACTAGACGTTATAATCATTATCGTTATAATAATTTGACTTGAATGCTTGAAAACAAAAACAAATTAATTCCAATGTTTGTAAAGTTGGATGGAAAGTGAGGCACCTAGATTAGTGTTGACTGGGTTAATAAGACTATATAAATAGACAAAAATCTCTGAAATCCAACTGTGTCTTATTTCAACATTTTATAAGCTACTGTTTTTACATTTATTTATTTGAAAATGTGAGATTTTGAAACGTTTAAACCAAAATATTTGGGTATTACGTTTGTAGATAAAATCGATCAAATTATGTGTGTTATGAAATTTTTAACGTGCATGAATCAACATATATCACAGTTTAGACTAACATAACAACAACAACAACACAGAACGTTACCATGTAACCATGGTCACACTGGGGTTACATACACTATAACAAGAATGAATTAATTGGAACCTACAGCACTGTGTTTACAAAATGATATCAAATGACGGACGGACAAAGACGAATACAAAAGGCGCCCCATGTAGGGTAAGGCACCTATGTCCAAGATAAGGCCTAGCTTTTTGTGTAGAATGTACACGTTATATCACAGATGAGCTTGTTAACTAGACTATTACACATATAGCAAGTGAACGGGTAGACGTCAAAACTACAACTGACCCAGAATTCCTTGTTCACACAGACCTACCGTACTCGCAAAGTCTAATTGTCTTCTATATACAAACAGGTATCCACACGAAAATACTGTATGTCTTTTCAAGTAAAGCATAAATAGTACATTACTTCTGTAATTAATGAGATATTGGCTGAGGTTAACTGAATCTATTTGCATTTGAATGGCTACACATATCAGCGAGTCGATTTTACACAATAACCTTAACATAATTATGAATAAATATTTTTAACGGAATCTGCACAACTTCCTGATTTTTTAAATAGTGGATAAATAATGCAGAATTCTATAAGTGCTATGATGTTGTTTTCTGTGCATTATGTAGTCTGCTGAAACTTCTCAAACTCGGATTTTGTGCTCAAGCCCCGTTTCTTGTGCCGATCTATAAAAAGCTTCAAGTATTAAAAACACATTTAGAGACTTATAGCAGAATACTGTTCATGATGTTCAGTTTTGACGTTTTGACCATGTCACATATGATTGATCACAGAATCTATGTTTGTGAATGAGGACGGTTTTATGAATGCGAGTCCAGAATACCAATTTTTCTTTACAATGGCTCCTTGTAATTTGAGCACTTTCAAGATGTCTCCACATCACCCGAACTGTGACCCTGGTAATACATTGTTTACGGACAAACACAACCGTTACTTTCAACTGGGTTTAAATGCGAAATGTCGTCTCTGGCAATAGTTTGGCTTCGGTTGTAACAAAACGTCTCTTGTGACATTAAAACGTCAACTGTATTTTGTTTTATGATGACACATGAGACTGTATTTTAGCTTTATATCTTACAGTTTCACAACCTTGGTTTAAGGCGCTTCATTATAACACAAACAGTTGTAAGGCGCTTTATAGGCCTGGGCATCAGGTATGTCACTCTGATGCAAACAACCGCGTTTGTCTAGTGTGTGCTCTTCTTCCGGGTTCTGGGAACAGTGGACCTCAGTTTGTCTATGAAGCGTATTTCCATTTCTTCCACCAGCCCCATCACCTAAACATAGACAACACATGCATCACATCACATTATGGGACCAAACTCGTGATAACATTATAACCATCTACGTTATATAACGTTTAAATCACATCATAGAACAAGTAATCAATGAAAACAACTACGAATACACAGCATATTCATCGTATCACACACTAATCAAACAGTTACCATCAACAAAGGATAAACAACACATTCTCTACGTCATGTAAAGATATCGTCATAATTACCAGTAGTATATATACAACACATTCTCTACGTCATGTAAAGATATCATCATAATTACCAGCAGTATATAAACAATACATTCTCTACGTCATGTAAAGATATCGTCATAATTACCAGCAGTATATAAACATCACATTTTCTACGTCATGTAAAGATATCGTCATAATCACCAGCAGTATATATACAACACATTATCTACGTCATGTAAAGATATCGTCATAATCACCAGCAGTATATAAACATCACATTATCTACGTCATGTAAAGATATCGTCATAATCACCAGCAGTATATATACAACACATTCTCTACGTCATGTAAAGATATCGTCATAATTACCAGCAGTGTATAAACATCACATTCTCTACGTCATGTAAAAATTTCGTCATAATCACCAGCAGTATATAAACATCACATTCTCTACGTCATATAAAATATCGTCATAATCACCAGCAGTATATATACAACACATTATCTACGTCATGTATAGATATCGTCATAATCACCAGCAGTATATAAACAACACATTCTCTACGTCATGTAAAGATATCGTCATAATTACCAGCAGTATATATACAACACATTATCTACGTCATGTAAAGATATCGTCATAATCACCAGCAGTATATATACAACACATTAAGGATGTACTCTTCTGAGGTTTCAATCACGTTCAAGTCTCGTTTTGATCTGGTGTAATGGGTTTTTTAACAAATTACGATCAAGTTTATTAGCAAACAAGCACCAGAAAAATATGTCAAAAAACTAGATGCCAGTTGTTTGTAGATTTTTTTTACAAGGATTTAAAAAAATTACCAATTCAGCGGTCATTTTGAAAATGTGTATTAATGTGTATTTCTTGCGCTTCAAAACAGGCCAAAATTTCACCTTTTTTGATACTAGATTGATCACTTAAATTGTCATTGTGTCGCCATTTTTAATTGTAGCAGGTTCAATTTTGCTGTACAACTTTATAATGTTCAATATGATAAAAATAATATGCAAGAAACTGGAAATTATACATTATTGATATTTTTTTAAGTATTTAGTGTTACTGAAGCAATTTTTACCCCGAAAAAGGTAAAAAATAACACAAATGATAATGGGACAAAAAAGAAGCACACTGACCCCCCCTTTTTTGTAGATGTTTTAGAAAGAGAAACACATTTTCATTTAATTCATTAAATATTAAAAAAAGTTTAATACCAGAACTTCTTCTATCAAGCGTTTAATCTGCAAAAAAAATGGTAAAAAATGAGTATTTTTTCTTTAAAAAATACAGGGTAGGGGTAACTAAAATCGGCTTTCTGAGTTAAAAGCATCAGATTAAGAAATTTTACTTCCATAAATTAAAAGAACATAATATTTTCATCAATTCTACAAACATTCATACATATCTGACAACACACTTGGAAGAAATTGTATGAATTTGTTCTGCAAATAGTCAAAACCCAAAAAATCACCTCTGTTAAATTGGTATCTTTGACCGATCATAGCACAAAAACGAATACACGGACATATAGAGTTTTTTTTGCATTTTCTACTATGCCATTAACTCCTTTTTCCAAAAATCCATATAAGAAAAAGGAAATTTTTGACTTCTCAGAGGTGTACATCCTTAAAGACCAACGGATGACACCACATCATAAACACACTAATCACCGTGTAGAGATAATCAATATATATATATTACACTTCCCTAGTGTTACCTAACACTCGGCTACAGGCGGCACATATATTACTGTAAGATCGCCTACCCCCATGTAGAAGGATGCAACCGTTTAGACTTTGTTCATTAGTGTTTTCGTTGTCGTCACTACTCCTAATTTT